TTCGTTCTTATTGTAAAATAGGAGCACTATTTATCAATCTGTAATAAAAGACGTGAGGAAATTCTGTCTTTTTTAAAGACAAAAATTTTTGAGGCAAAATACCCAAAGAGAAGTCTCTATTGTTGCTAAACTCTCATATGCCTAACAGCGACCTCAAAGGGCAAATGCGCGTTTTTTACACAATTAAGTGCACCAACATGAATTTTTTTAACCAATTTTGGAAAGATTTGCCAGGTTTACTTCCGCCGTCATTCCGAAATCTTCCAATTCATCAAATAACAACAAGAGAGTCGTCAACCTTCGGTTTTGTATGGATTTTCAAAGGGCCGCTTGGATTTCTCCGGTCATTTTCCTCAAACCTTTGTAACAAGCGCGATTTTTTAACTTTTACTCCATTTATTTACTGATTTTGCTTAAAACCAAGCTGTGATGAATGCGATTACAACAAATTTCTGAAAAACAACTTGAAACTTAAAAAAGTCACTACTGTTGCTGGCAAATGCGCCAATTACAATGTTATTTTTTCAAAACTCGAACTTAATGAGGCGCATTCACCAAAACATCTAGTGAAACCATCGGTTTATGAAGCGAATTTTTCCAATCAGCCTATCAGAAATTGCGATCGAAACACAATATTTGTGCAAAATCCTCGAATTTGCAATATTTAATTCGGTCGCGACCCAAGGTTAGATAATGAACGTGTGGATAAGAGGCATCTTCAAATATTCCGCCAAATCCTCTTTTGCGCTGCAGCTGGCGCCTTCAAACCCTCTCACCCAACTAACCCAAACGATCTTCCCCAACTTACGCTGTGAGCAGAATTTTGTCATTCAAGCCTTCATTTTACAACCGGAAATTTATTACCGGTTCGTTTAAGTGATCGTAAAAACACCTGTTGGACATTGATAATCAGATGCTTAATAAAAATGCTTAAGGCCGATAAGTTCTTAGAGGACTTTAGATTAGTTTTTATCGGCTGTGGAAATTTTTACATAACGTTTCTAGGCCTTGGTCGAACTTCATTCGATTTCCATTCGCTTAATTTACCGACACTGTAGAGGATGGCCTCAAATAAACAGTGTGGATTTATCACAGTTCCGTATGAAGTCTTACACTCATTTAGCTGCACATGCACGTTTTACCGCCAGAGTATTTTTTTTCTTCTATTTTCTATACGGTGAAATTGGTCCATTTAGAGTGGCAGTGTCGCCTAGTGCGATAAGTTAATTAGCTAATTAAACAATGGGTGGGAATGCAATCCGCGGCAATTAGCCGGCGAATATATAAAAACGGTGTAATGGTCTGTCTAGTGTTTAATATTTGCGACAATTAAGTGTCTTTAACAAGCTCGTAAATCTCCTTGTGCAGAAAGGGGGCCTGGCTTTTATCGAAGAGAAACCGAAGCGTTTTGATAGTAAATGACTCGACTAGTACTACTAGACGAGCTCATGAAATATTTGTTTCAGTATTCAGCCGGGTTGAGAATGGATTTAGCAATATGCTAGATTTTCAGCACATGCTTTCCTGCATTACCTCGTTGGCAATAATTATTATCACTCGTGTCCAATAACCACTTTTTTCAATGTCAAACTAGTAAACCTTATCTCTGCTCGGACCAGTCCACACACATAAAACTTGTGAATGGCAAATAAAATTTACACACGCTTGCATTCGATTAATCCCACAATGAGTCCAAACGTTTAAGTGCTCATTTTTACCTAAAACTTGTTACTTAACTTATACTTTACACACTGAAAATTTTACCAGATTTTCCACTTCATCCAATCATACTAATGAGGATTTCCTATCTAACAACTTATTTTTCCACATTTTTCTGGGGCGTTTAGCTCCTCGGCGGAATTCCGGCCCGCCAATGGCTACTATCAGTGTTGACTTTTTTCCTTTGTAAATATTTTAATGGCTTAAGGCCATTTGACCAATTTTATGAACCGTATTCGTTCCTCGATTCAAGATCAGGATTTCTAAAGACACACTAACATTATTGAACTATTGCTATCAACAACTGGTATGTGTGATAATTTAAGTAGAGTAGAAAATTTAAATAAAATTACAGTGATTTTCTTTGCTTTTTTCAAATTTCTATGTAAGAAATCGTCCAGAACGTTTTGAACGGGTGTTCAAAATTCATTACGAGCAAGCCAAAGAAGACTGAAAGTTTGAAATGCTGAGCAAAATCTTGCAACTCAGTGACTTTTTTAGATTTTTTGCAAACTTCCATCCAAGAAATCAAAGCGCATGTGGCGGTTTTCGTTCAAAAATTACTTACACGCAACCAATGCCCCAATGCAATGCCTCAATTTACAATCTCACGAAGTTTTAAGAAAATCGAGCTGCACATTGATTTTTTACAAACTTTCATCCAAGAAATCATCCAAACCGCGATTAGCGGATTTTCGTTATAAAATTCATCAAGCGCCGCCTACAGTAGATAAAACAGTTTTAAATTTGTGGGTTGTTACTCAAAAAGCCTCGATTTGCACTCGTAGCTCTCCATAAATTTTAAGCAAATCGGGCAGCAGTGTCATTTTTAGTTTTCTGCAAACTTTCATTCAAGGCGCATAAAACGGGTTTTTTTCAAAACTTCATAACGCGCAATCTACCGTAGACTGAAAGTTTAAATTATGGTCTGTTATTCAAAAAGCCTCGATTTATACTCTTACAAAATTTTTGGAAAATCGTGCAACTCAGCGATTTTTTAGATTTTTTGCAAATTTCCATCCAAGAAATCAAAGCGCGTGAGGCGGTTTTCGTTCAAAAATTAATTACGCGCAACCTACAACAGACAGAAAGTTTAAAATTTTGACTGTTGCTCCAAAGGCCTCCATTTACAGTCTCACGAAATTTTAATAAAATCGAGCTGCACAGTGATTTTTTGCAATTTTCCGAACTTTTATCTCTATAATCTTCCAAAGCGCGAGAAGCGGATTTTCGTTCTAAAATTAATCGGGCGCAA